CTATGGGGTCAGGGCTTTTCCCCATAGTTCTCCTTAGGGTAACGGGAGGACACAGACTACACAACAACACAACCGGCTCCAAGCTCCCTCTTCACTTGTGACGAGAGAGCATGGAGCCGGCTTCCCGGGCCAATCAGAAAACCGGCAGCAAGTCATTACACAGCGTCTGGCTTCCTGAATGGGACTTCCGGGAATCAGTATTTGGTATCGGTGAGTACCGGAAAAAATCGTGTTCGGTGTATCGGTGTTTGATACCGAAATACCGGTATCTGTGCTTCCCTAGTTTGTGTGTGTGTATATATATATATATATATATATATATTAGGGATGCACAGATACTTTTCGAGTACCAGTGCAGATACTCGGCATTTTCATGAGAACTCCCCGGGTGGCAGCGGTTGCAGCTGGGACCGGGCTCTGGCGCTTCCACCGCTGTCCTGATATCATTAGTCTGTATTGTTTTAGAAAAACTGTCACATGACAATTGGATTCCTCAACAATGTATGAACGAATGATCAGGTCCTTCTGAAGTTTGTCCAGCAGAGGGCGCCTGTGAGCTCTAATCAAAGAGTTTCATCACTTTATGGTGTCGGATCTTTTATCATTAATAATATGTGCGGAGTTCCAACTTTCACTGTTTTCCTAGATACGAAGTTCATGAAATAAGTTAACCGAAAATTACTTTCATTTTTTGTTCATTAAATGCTGATCATTTCGCAGCTTTAGGGGAAGAGAATTTGAAGGTGTTACAACTAAAATACATCATATTAGCAAATGGCAGCGGACAGGATGGTGTTTATAAACCATTTATAGGAATACAATTCTGTTATCATAGAGCTGCGTGTGGAATCATTCGATGTGTTTCTGGTCAGGTGACCAGCGGAATCCCAGTGAAATGATTTCAATAACATTTTACAATTTATAAGCGTGTAACAAAACTTGTAGACAAAGAATACAAAGTGTCATTCGTCTGCATCTTGTAAACTCAAATTATTTTTACTTTATTTACTTAAATAAAATGGAAAATTAGGAATTATAGCGGAAAACTAAACTGCAACCTGAGACATCAATCAAAGCCATTTGTAAATCCAAAATAAAAAATCAGATTTTCATGTTATGATTTCACTTTTGCTCCTGAGTGTGATTTCCTCTTCTGTGTTGTCACCGCATTACGCATGCTCGGAATAATGTATAGCCGTGTCTAGGGCTGGTTCTGCCCCATTCGGCTTTCATTTGTGAGGACATTTCCTACAGCGATTTGTCACAAAAGAATTTTGCTTTACATCACTTTAAGAAGATTTTTGATAGACATAAAGACTAATCATTGGAAGGTGGAGGGTAAAGGGAGAGGGGTGTGGATGGATGGGGAGGGTGGCTGTGTGAAGAGGAAGGGTAGGGGTCTGACAGGGAAAGGTGACGGCTTTGCAGGGAAGATTGGGGGTGTGGTGAGAAAGCTGGGGGTGTGGCTTGCCCTGGTGAGGGGGGTGAAATAGTGACAATGAGTTGAAGTGCTCTATGTGAAGTTATTGGAAGACTGAATGACTTTGTGTCAGTGGATGATTCCAGTTGCGGTAATGTGTGACAGTGTGCATGTTGGGGTGCTGCTGCGCAATTCATTCTTAATGAATCTTGCATCTTGCCCATCGAATTGCGTGGCGGTGCACCACAACGCAGGGAAGCATTCCCAATAAAAATAACAATATTTCTGAAACCTGTAATCTATAATTTTTTATATTTATTGGGTCCCCAGCTGCGTTCTGGGTGTTTCCGGAACATTCTTCTCGTATTATATGGAATGATATTCTATAATTCTTCTTCTTCTTCGCAGAGACGTCTTATCTTTGTTTTCTCGCTGGCAACTTTCTAATGTGTGATGATCTATTTCCGCAGCCAAGGATCGTATCCAAATGGACCTTTCACCTCCAACCTACTGACCATACCAAAGCAGAGGTCATCATCGGTCACCCTCACCCCGCACATGGGCACCCGGAGAGCTGGTAGGGGCAGAGCGAGGGGTCAGAGTAGCAGCTCAGCTTATAGATTGAAGTTTAAGCCAAA